CTGCTCCGCTGAGGAGGGCAGTAGTACACTAAGCTTACCAAGGGACTATTGACCTTAGATTGGTGTATGGTTAGTAGTGCAGTGTAATGTGAATCAGTATGATGGGCAGTCAGGTTACTAACATATAGCATGTATCAATGAGCACATGATGACTCATGCGTGTTTGAAACTAGACGTGCTACAATTTTTTCCAAGGCAGTTGAAAAAATAAAGCAGCTGCACAGAAGTACTCATGGAAAAGAATGAAAATATCCTGCCAGGGAGTCCGTTTTCGGGTACCTTGGGTTTGTACACATAACTGGAGTGCGTGAAATCGGACAAAAGAGCTTGGGCCTTGTAACAAAAGACTGTAGTTGGAACAAAAGACGGGCTGCTGGGAATTGCCAACATTTTTTCAGTTGTCAATAGCAGAGGAAATCCGTCATTGTTTTGAATGATTATACCACTGATTATATACCACTGTTTGTGGTAAGCAGCACAAGCAAATTACCACGGGAGACAAAAGCACTCCAGCGCTCCAGGTATGAGCGATACAATACCGCTGCACGCTAATCTGGTCCACATTTGAAAAGACCCAGCAGCGCACTGGGCCAGTTTTGGGAACAAAAGAAAATCGTGTAACACTGCATAATCTGAGGTCTCTTTACAAGGTGGTAGGCCTGGCTGAAATACTTGGGCGTCAATAGATGTTGTTTGTCACATTAGAGAAGCCACCAGACAGTCATCCGTGTGGGTGTATACGTCCAGTAAATGAAGTTATGAATTATTGAAGAATTTTGAAAACGGAAAATCTTGAAAATCCCCAGGAATACGTCATGCAACTTCAACTTAAACCCGGCAGCGCATGGTTTAAGTACAGTAAAAATTTTTCTTTTTCATGAACAGCACTGTGCAAGTGTCAAACACAAAAATAAACTGCAGAATCGGCCAGGCAAGGGCAAGTTTCGTGATCAGCCGTACCCCAAACGACAAGGAGCACAGGTAAGCGGAACAAAGATCACCTGCCAAGTTCATAGCAAGGAGCAACCGACTCAATGTCATGGAAAGGCTTCTTTTTTTTTTTTTTCAAACAGTTGAGAATATGGGTTTTTCTTATGACACGCTGTTGACCCATATCGTCATTCTTAAAATGGATTTGCAGACAGCTGTGTGATACAGACCGATTTGGTGTCAACAATCTCGACCTGTTACTGCGGTGTCCCCACGCTCTCGAACAAAAGAGATGCACATTGAAATGCTTCCTCATCAGCCAATGGGAGCGCACTGCTAACCAAAATCACGCGACCGTCAAGCTTTGGAATGACCTGAATGACGGGGACACCACAAGCGATGGTGTCAGCGAATCGGTTAATAGTCGCCACTGTTTTTTGAAACAATGGAAAGGGATACCTAAATTTAAAAAAATTGGCTAAGGCCTTTCAAAAGATTGCTTTCTGCCATTTGTGGGAAAAGCTTGGATTAACTTCTGCACACATAAAGGACAAGCTAGGGAAGATCCTCCGTGGAAATCAGATCTTCTGTGGTCAAAACTCTTCCGTGGCCAGATTTAGTCATGATCAAAACTTACTCAAATCCATGTGTTTAAAATTTACAAAATCAGACTCCTGTGTATGCATTCATGTACATGCATGTGTTCCATCATTCATGGAAAGGAGCATATTTTTAAAAGCTGACAGGTTTGTCCTCCACTGTCTTGCAGGGGAAAGCAAACAGTCCAAGCAACACCGCCAATCGGTCGTCGTTGGGCAGGGGAAACTGGACAAAAAGCAGCAGCGACTCATTCAATCCCAAGAGTTCCTTCAATGCCTGCCGTGGCAATGGCAGTGCAGGCCCCAGCAGGGGGAGGGGGCGGGGTACAGGAATGCCCGCAAAGAGTCAACTGAACAGTTTGTTGAGCAATTTCGGGGGCGGTTACTCCAGAAGTGCCACAGGCGACAGCTGGAGCGTCGGCAACAGAAGTGCCGTGGGCGACAGCTGGGGCACCGGCAACAGAAGTGCCATGGACAACAGCTGGGGCTTTAGCAACAGAAGGGCCATGGGCAACAGCTGGGGCACTGGCAACAGAAGTACAGTGGGCGACAGCTGGGGCACCGACAATAATATCGCTGCGAACGTTTCTTCACGAGGGGGCGGGAGGGGAAGGGGCTGGCAACAACAGCCAAAACAGTGGGGTGGGACCCAGAGCATGCCAGGCCGGTCCGGCATCCCAGGGCTTGAAGATAACTTTGTCAGGCAGAGCTTCAAGGAACAAGATAACTACTGAGAGATCAACCCCATACCTGGAGAACACAGTAACATCCAGGCAGCCTGTATGGGACAGATTACAGGCCAGTATCTATGGCCCAGGCTATCACCAAATCGAGAGGATTATTTCTTGTGTCAGGAAAGTCGAGACGCAATCATCGAGACAAACATTGTCCATGTAACGTCTTTGGTCCCCACAACCTCTGTGCTTGATATGTGTTTCAGACCCCACAACTAAGAAACAACTATTTATGTATTCTCGGGTTACTAACCAACGTATCTGTGCATGGCAAATCGATGTGCTTTGACATGCATTTGTGTGTCAGGGATACATCTCGGATGACATCCCAAGGTTCCAACACGCTATATACACACCCGGATTTCTTTGTATGCATGTGGTGTACACTATACATAGGTATAATTTTCAGTTGTATGTAAATCGAAAGGGTCTTTGCATGGATGCAAACTGCTGAGCAGTGCAGCCATTGGAGTGTCCATCTGGCCTCGTTATCAGTTTCTGCATATGACTAGTGGCCACTTCAAAACTGAATAAAAAGAAGAAAACTAGCCGTTAACTTTTTTTGATTTTGAAATAATACTGGTAATCAGCACCGACCAAACAGTTGCCAGCTTGTTGGCACTGATAAAAGACTTCTGGACGAGTGGGTTATTCATAGTCCATGTCCCCCCACAAGCCGGACTACCAGTTTGCCCTGGTGGGATCATTGGATCGGCCCACTCAAGTCTGCTGAGACAAGTCACTGGCCAGCAAGTCTTTGCAAGAAGAATGCAGGCTACAAAATATCTGTGAGAGCAAGTCGGGAAGCATAATGCTCATTCACGCTCTACATGATTCTTGTGGAGGACTGCAGTCACATCATCAAGGCCAGTTCAGACTTGGCGCAAAAGCGACCACAAACACGAATTTGCGACGTCAGATCCAAATACTCGCGCTGCGAATTTGCAAACGTTGAACACATTTTAACTTGAGCGAAATGTCGCTGCAAATTTTTCATGACGTCAAATATTTTCTCCGCTTTCGCATTGGACTGCAGTATGAACCAGCCTTGTATACTCTATGGAAGGAATATTTGCTGCTGCTGTAGAGCACAGTTTACTTGTAAGTTAAACCTTTTCTGTGTGCTCTGTAGAGAAATCAGATGCTCTGCTTTGTGCGTCTTGCACAAAGCAATTAAAAGCAATTACTCCCGTCAAAGTTGTATTATAGTTTGTATAGCGTTGAGAAGTATTAGAGAGAAAATGTACATACTGTTTCTGGCTGCAGCCTTTGATGTTGATCCAATGGAGAGGCCTCCCTCTGAGTGTTTTTATGAATGGGAAAATTTTACCTTGGCCAGTGATACAAAGAACTGGTGTAATGATCTGTGCGTCCAGTTCTTCGTAAGATTTCTGCTCTTGCCAGGGGAAGCTGAAACGCCAACGGAAGGTCAGGAATTTTATCTTGTATTTGGTTTTTACCTGACCTTTCCTTCCAAGTTCCAGCAGTGTCACGTTTCTAAGTTGAAGGTATTATACTTTGGTTGAATATTCTTTATTATTCAAGGATTGAAAACAGAAACAAGTTTCATTTTTATGCACCTGTATACAATTCGTGCAGTCACTAATGCACAGTTTACTTGAAAAAAAAAGACTTACAATAATGGATGACTTGTTCATTTGGACCACTTACACGGAAGAAGCTTGATTAAAACACATTCGTCCGCAGTTGTTGCATATGAAATTTGTTGTTTGTTCCATGTACAAGTGTTTTTGTTTACGGAATATATGTAGTTATGAAATGCTTTTGGAATTGTAAAATGAGAGAAAGCCCCAAATTTTTGGCCCTTGAATTAAAACATCTTAAAACTTTCGGTCAATTTACCGGGGATATTTTATCAGAAAGAGCATTTATGATGTTTTACGACCAGTTCATGTACATCGAGGAGCACTGCCAATACAAGATTCTGCTTAAAGCAAGGAAATGTTTAGGTCCCAATCATTTGTTTATTTGCATTCATGATAACACAAGGTTCCTGTTAAGGTAATCTGTAAAGTCCGAAGGAGCTCCTATTCATGAAGTTCAACTGCTTAATGCTCATGAGTGCAGTGATATGAAAATTCAAAGAGGCAATGGTCGGAATGTTTCATTCATGATGCAATAGAACATTCCATCGGTCAACAACCTCTACAAGAAATCTGCCTAAATTCCTACAGAACTTCTTTTTATCATACAAAACAAATGGATGAAGATAGCAAGAAAACAGTCGACAACTGCCATGCAAATATATTCAGCATAGCATGAAACATCTTCCAAAATGGTTTGTCAGCTGTCTTGAATGCTGTTTTCTCATTGGCCCAGAATGATCATGTGACAGCAACAACTGCATGTCACGCTCACTATTAACCATTGCATCAACCAGTGTTGTATGATGCCATGAGCATGCACCCGCCTCTGCACTTTACAAGGACAACTAATTGCTTATGTTCAAAGATTCCTTTGTTGCCCCTACGTTCTGTACAAGCGAAAAACATCAAGACCACGACCGCTGTAATATGAGATGTAACATTTCAAAAAACCAAAGGGACGCATCCTTGGGCGCTGCATATAAAATGCTAATTGGATTTTTGGGGGGCAACAACTTCAATATTTATTGACTCTACCGCCCTCCATACAAATACCCCTAGGAACAGTACAGTTACCACATAAATCTAAACAATCAGATTTGATTTTCCTTCGATTACCACGTAACATTCATTGTGTTTCAAATTCCAATGGTAGCTCAAGATTTTCACAAAGCATCAATTTATGAAAACAAGATCAAACTTCTGCTTTTCTCATGGAAAAAGTAGATCATATATATTTCTATGATCTTTATAACAAAGTATTTGCCTCAAATGAACAATAGCCATTTCTTTTACTCGGCTGTAATAAAACAAGTTTAAATATTTAACATATCAAGGCAATCATCAAATCCCAATAAATACAATTTCTGCCTTTTGAAATCCGCCCAAACTTTTATGGTTTGGAAGCAGAGATATTTTTACTACATGGCTAAATTACTGCTCCTGGAAAAAAAAAACTCAGCTTTCTGAGTCTTCAAAACTCCTTCAAAATTCAAAATTTTTTTTCATTCACATCAATTCTCAGCTTCTTACCCAGCTCCTCTCCCAACAGATCACAACCTAGCAATCCTAACTGATGATTGAGCCTGTTCAATATTCAAACTGTGCAAGCTCGCAAAAGAAGCATGTCAGAGGTCATTCAAACACAACAATACGCATGCTGTGAGCTGCACAAGCACTGACCAAGGATGAGCTTGCGTGCTTCCGTCTCAAATCATCTTGTCTGTTTTGAAGTACAGAGGAAAAAAATTTGGCAAAAAAAGGAAAGTGTTGGTTAAACAAAAAAACGAATAGTTATTGAAGAGGAATTTTTGAACGTGGATATTATACTGCGCACTGGCAAAAACAAAACTACTTTGTGACAAACTCAAGCACAATATCTATCTTCAAGTCGCATTTAAATACTGTGATCCTTTTTCCTCAAAAATAGAACGATGAGAACACTCTAGTGTTCCAACTCACTGTGCTCGACTCACTACTCATTCCCTCTCGCCAATGAAGCAAACACACTATCCTCTTTGCCTATTAAGTTCATTGGTGAGTCATTCTCGACGATCTTGCCGTTACTCAGAACCAGGACCGTGTCAAAGTTCATAATGGTGGAAATGCGATGCTGAAACAGAAAGAGAATTTTCATTATCAACTAAATCCCGAAAGCAGTTTTTATAAAGAACTGTAGAAAGATACAACTGATAACAAATATGCAAAAAAAAGCAACAAATACATAAAAGGCTATTATCGAGCAATACAATTTGAAATAATTTCGTTAAGGAGCAATGACGTACAGCAATGGTTAAGATGGTGCGATCGGCAAAGGTAGTTGCTACCACTTCCTGCAAAATCTTGTCCTGGGGGGAAAAAGTAACAATTACCAAATGGGAAAGATTCCTGAGAATGACTAAGCTGAGGTACTTTTGAAGTCATTAACCCTAACCCTCCTCAATCCTTCACCTGTTGGAGGACTGAGGGGGGTTAGGGTTAACTTCTGCTACTACGTAACCCTGTAGGGAACAGGGATTTTTAGTCGTCTCTCTTGGCTAAGGGTGCAGTAGAAATGTCTCAATTTGGTGGGTATTCCACAAGTGTTCTATACTGACTTCATCCGTAGGCTAGAGATCCTGAATTCAATCGGTTACATGAACAATTCACAGAAGTATTTCTTACATCTGTTCGGAGAACTGTTGACTGCTATGTTTTTCATTTTGCCAATGCTCTGAAAGAAAGCGTAATCTGCTCCAGTGAGTAATGTATGCCAGATCCTCGCGCTAAAACACAGTTACCACTTTTACCCACTTTGCAAACACCATTTATATTTTGTGCTCCTGTATGGCATAGGGGATGTATCTTTTGTCAGAATTATAATTGAATGATCATCACTTTGGGAGTTAATTTTAATTTAATTTCTTCGAGGAGAAATATTTCATCTTGAGTATATGTATTCCACATGACTCGGCACAAAAAATGACAACGGACAAAGACACGCAAGGCTAGAACTCCAAAGAAGGAAAAAGAGACCAGAATTTATAGAAGACCAAATTTCGTATGACATATCAGCAAGATCGAACTTGATCAGCAGATCCGACATTCACCAAGAGCCCCCTTACTGTGTCAATGTCCATGGAAGCCGTGGCCTCATCCATGACCAGGATGCGAGATTTTCTCAAAAAAGCACGGGCCAAGCAGAACAGCTGACGTTCCCCACCACTGAAATTCTCACCTCCCCCTACCACCTCAGAATCTGGATGAAAAAGAGCGACAAAATGATACATTGTTAGTGTTGACCAGAACAAAACTGGAGTACATGAACTAAACTGTATTTGACAGGGCAACACGCTAAAGACTAATATTCACAACCAGTCAAGAGGGTAGAAGAGGCAAGAAACAAGCGAGCTTGCTCCAGCCAGACTCATTTCCTCAACTTAATCTCTGTGCGAGCCTTTATATTTCACCCAAACCATGCATCTTTTCCATCAACTTACAACAAAGTCTACACTTTAGAGAAAAGTGGAAATGGAACAACGCATGCCTCCTCACCTAAGCCTTTTGGCAGACTGGACACCACTTGTTTGAGTTGAGCAATCTCCAAGGAGTCCCACAGCTCGATGTCTGTGCACTGCCTTTCCGGGTCCAAGTTTCTCCTGGGTAGAAACAAAATGAAAAGAATGCAGACACACTTTGCAGAACTAGATGAAGAGAGATGAAAATAAGCCAGCCATCTCCTCTGTTGCATTTTCTCATTAGCAGATATTGCCAGCTAAAAATATTTTCTTCCTGGAAATCGTAAAGATTTCGACAACTGCAGACATTCACAAAGAGACTGTTATGGAAGACAGCACACACTTAACTCTGCATGTTTTTTTCTGCTGAAGAAAAATGAAATTAATTTGCATGAAGTGTGAAAATCTTGCCTCACCTGATGGTGCCTGTGAAGAGTTCAGGATCTTGGGGTATGATTGACAGAGCTCGGCGTAGAACCTCCACCGGCACTGTGGTGATATCTACACCATCGATGAATATCTGACCTGGGATGGACAGAGTTCCACAAGACTATACGTATACTCTCAGTGACTGGCAAATTCTCGGATAAAAATTTTGAGATAAGTCGTGACAGTAACATCAACGACTAATAGACAATGATAAATGGCGGCTTGCAAACATTTGAAGTTCAAACAATGACAATCAATTAGCTTGAGGCAAATTCTGAGGGTAATTTCCTAGGAAGCCTAGTTTTAGGCTTAGGAAGTGATGGTCAATGTAAAAGGGGAGTGGTTATGGAAAGGGGGTGATCCATACCTTGACAAATATCCAATATTCTGAAGAGAGACAATGCTAGGGATGTTTTTCCACTTCCAGTCTGGCCGCACAGAGCAACCTAATAGCAAGCATCACCCAAGCAACATATAAATCATTAAATATACGAATATGAATCTAAAATACCTGAACTTAGACTGTAAGACCAAAACTTATCACACAGTTGGACTACAGCCAATGGAATGAAACTCTCTTTGACTAGGCTCACAAATAGCAAAACATTTAACCTTATTCTTGGTGAGAAACTTCTCCCTAATTGTGTAAACACACAGTAATGAGACATTCTTTGTACTTAAAAATAGGATTCTTCAAGCCCCAAAGAATTAAAAACTTTCCTAAGGTCACCTTTAAACTCATGCTTGACTATGGCAGGCAATGCATGCAATGATCACATCTACTAGCCATAAGGTTATTATGTGTCATAGGCAAGTCATAGGAATACAGCCAGGGGCTTAAAAAAAGTCAAGCTCAACACGGGAATGGATGGAGGTTTCATCAGGAGTTAAGCCATGTCCGAAATGGGCATTTCTGTCAATGGCTACATATCTATAAACAGGCTAATGGTGAAAATTGAAGTCACAGCCTCAAGGCAGTGTATATTCTGGCACAATTGTATAGGTTTAATGGCTGGCACCTTCTCGCCGGGGCGTAATTCCACATTCACCCCCTCCACCACTGCCTGCAGCTCCTTGGCATATCGCAGTGACACGTTGCTGAACGTCACCCGCCCCTGATCTGGCCAGTCGGCCGGAGGGTTCGTTCCGTCGTACAGCTCATTGGCCAAGCTGCTATAGTGCTTAACCCGCTCAACTGAATTCATCTGAATTTCGCAGTCTGTGGTGTAACGCACCAACCAGTTCACCTGGCTTGATACCTGGTAACAAGCAAGGTCAGTATACATCATGGGCTATCAACTTATACATTGCGGAAGCGCCCTTTTGGAGAAAAGGAATTCTCCAACGTATCTTTTGAAATACGGGAAAGGTAAAATGCCGATTCTCAGTAAAATATTACCAAGGGAAAACTAGCAGTCACACGGTTGGTTTTGCCTCAATGAAATGTCCAATTTATTAAATGCTGCATTTTTGGGGAGCTGGGAAAATCTTGTGAGCTTTACTCGATCGGTAGGTACGATTCAACCCTGCAACGTCTTGTTTACCGCCTACCTCAAATCTAATAATAAAGGGTTTGACGTTCCACAATCAACAACAGTTGATGTTTAAAATCAAAGGTAAACAACTGGTGTACGACATTATAAATAACACCAGAGATAACAACATGGTATAGTCATGATAGGAAAGTGGAAGGATTGAGCATTTGACCTGTGTCTGCCATCTTGCAGATTGTGGGAGCTAGGAATCACTCTCTGACTTACCCGCAGGATGTATGTAATAGCCAAAGCAGCCAAGCTGGCATCTAGATTGCTGTATATTGCACCGCACATGGTACCAACACTTACAAACAACACCAACAATGATCCAAGCATGTCCTGAAATGACACCGAAAATGGGGGAGGAGGTTCCATATTCCATAAAAGCATTTTGAAAACATAAATACTAGCCAACATGTGTTCTATCAGCCAAAGGTGTGCATTTTCAGGAAATCGAAGTCAATTCCAGTCTGCAAGGTCTGACATATATAGCTCATCTAGTCTCAAGACACATGCTATTCAAGTGATTTATGACAAAAGCCATTCGTCTGTCATTGTTCATCCCTTAAAAATGACCCTGTGTGTGGATCGATCTGGCCTCTATATTTAACGGTCCAATGTGAAATGTCTACTCCTCTACGACAGATATGTTGACAGGCTTGGCAAACAAAATAGCACATATAAGGACTATGAAATATAGCTTGGCAGAAATCCTCTTTACCATTCTGACTCTAACCCAGCGATAGGTACACCATAGGTAGGTGAATGCCGTAGCATTGATTGTCACTCTTTGCTGGACTATATCCAAGAAGCGCTTCTCAGCCCTGATCACACAAAAAATACATTGATTATTCACTCGTCTGCATAGTTTGCATACAAATACCAATTCTGTTTGTCTCTATGCATGCACTTTGCGTCAGCTTTGAGTTTACAGTAAATTTTGCAGTTGTGTGTTTTGCTTTTAGCGTAAATATCGCGCACTGCATTTACTTAAAGTAGAGCATTACACGGGGTTTGACATGAATCGTGCAATACACTGATATGTCACACTGTTTGTTGCCACGGATCGACCAATCAGAATAGAGAATTCAAGTTTGCAGGAAGATAATTGTAAAGAGCACAACTTACAATTAACACATGATTATATATTTATGCACACACTGTTCCCTTATTCAAAATTCAGGAGTAAAATATTTAGCACTGTCTTTTTCATGCACAATTAATTAATGGCTGTGACAAAACTCCGAAAGTTAGAAGATATGATCTTAGTCTTGATTCGTCATGATGACTGTACATTTAAGATGATCAACTAATCAAAGGTTATGCGTTAACACATCCTCAGAGGGCAAGAGTTTTGTATCACTGGGATAGGCTCGAGTAAACCTTTTGTGCACTTGCATTTAAATGTAACAAAAAACAGCCTCTTTGAGACACCATGGAGATGTTAGTAATGCACAACCTCTATTGGCCAGTCTTTTTGTTAGATGTGAACATGAGACTGAACAATACAATGATTATTTGATAAAAGTCTGACCTGTAAGCCCTAATGGTGGAAAGTCCATCAAATGACTCAGTGAAATGAGCCACAATGGGAGATTTGGAGATATTCTGTAGACGTTTCAGCTCTCTGGGGGAGGAAAGATGACATGAAAATGACTGAACCTCCTCAAAACTGACAAGATTTGCCAAAGTTGTATGAACTAAATTTTCCCATTTAGCCATCTTGGCTGAACAGTTGCAACCTGTTCAAAAGATGCACTCCTTTTCACTCTTCATCCTCTGTTAGGAACTGACTTGTTTCAAACGGAAGCACTCAAACGTTTCAAAACACATTCAATGTAAATTCTCTCTGTTTTCGTGTCATGATTGGTCAACAGAATTCTTTCTTCAGAACAATTAAAAAAACCAGGTTGATTGCAAAAGATAATTCTCGCAAGTACAGACCTTGCACTTGCGATGAAGTATTTCTGCAACCCAAGGTAGCCCAGCAAGACGGGTAAGAAGGCAACAGCAAACAGGGGCATGACGATGATGTTGATGAGGAAAGCCGCAATGCAGGACAAAAGATAGAAGAGAACGTTGTCGGCTGTCTCTATGACGTCCTGAGGGAGGTTGACAAGGTATGGTTGTAGTAAACTTGCAGCAGACACAAATTGCATGACAATGGCAAATTTGACAAAGTCTTTACATCTGCAGTCGACGTCTTAAAGTCAACTTAAAAAGTATAATGAAGCAAATTATTCCAAAATAGAAATGATTCTAATTCCTGGGCAGATGCATGGCTGACTGTGCAATTTTACAACCACTTACACGGTACAAGGTGCACTGTTTTCCCTCAATGGATACAGGAATTGTTATGATTTACAAAGCTGATGCTGGTTATTTTATGAAAAAGAAATCCGGCTTGTAAATTTGGAATGTACAAATCTCACCCTATCAATGACGGCAGTGTCACAGGAAAACCTGTTCAGGATTCTGCCCACCGGTGTGGTATCAAAGAATCTACGAAAACAACTCAGAAATTCAGTCACAATTTATTTCTTATATGGTAGACAGAAACAAAATGTTCATATAAGCAAACTGTATTTAACACAAGAAAAAAGCGTATAGATTTGGTGAGCATCACTGGCAAATACACATAGCCTTCTCCACACTATCAGAGCAACGTCTCCGGTAACCGAGATGCTTTGACCAATTGATTGATCGATCAGCAGGTATTTGTTGAATCCATCTATAAAATGATCAACATATACGCAAAACCATGTCAGCACTTGCCACTTTGAACATGCTTCTCATTGTTTAAGGGAGTATCAGCCAATCCCGGCAATTAGGCAACAGAGCTCTCTCAATATCTATAAAGGTCAATCTGTGATTTCTGACAAATTTGACCAGTGACTTGAACAAACTCATCAACAAACTGACCTCATCGGTGCCTTGGTAATGTTGTTCAGCATGCCAGCATGGAGATGTTTAGCAGCCACCACAATGGCATAGACGAGGCTCGCATTGGCCACGCTGGCTGCTAAGATACAACCAATGACGATGACCGTGTAGCCTAGCAGGTAGGGAAGGGTCACCGACTCCGCCTGAAACAAAAGGCAGAGTTTTCTCAGAGTCAATCATTCTTTTACACAAAAAAAACCTGTTAAATTTGAACACAAATTGTGGCTATAAATATGGCCCATGTACAGTTTAACTGCCCCTCAGAAGCATGACATTCAGCAAACATGAAGGGGTAAAGACAAGCTGCAAGTACACCAAACTACCAAATTCTCTTTCAGCAACCTCCAGCCAAAAGTTTACCTTTGTTTCTTTTAGCTGAACAGCCGCATTGCCAGAACATTTGCTGCTCCATAAAGTCAAATTACAATGCAGACGGGTCACATGGGGTACTAATAAGCCTTTTGTGAGTTAAATCTGAACAAAATCTGGTACACCGTATTATCTGACTGCAGATAAAACAATTTAAATTCCCCAGATTAAAGACTAATCAGCCTTTTGTGAGTTAAATCTGAATAAAATCTGGTATACCGTATTATCTGACTGCAGATAAAACATAATTTAAATTCCCCAGATTAAAGACACTATTGCTTTATACCTCGTGATTTGGGGCAAGCTTTTGCATAGCGATCACCATCTCTGGAATGGACTGGTTCCTTTGTGCCCTTCTTATCCATTGAAAACAGTGTATTGGTGCAAGGTGTCATTTATGTATCTAAGCAAAAGCTTGCCCCGAATCACGACGAACAGCAACAGGGAACAGGGAGAATTTAAATTTGTTATGTTTACGTGAATTCAAAGAACCAAAAGAAATTCACAAAAGGCTTATTAATAAAGGCTTTGTGTTAATCTACCTTGTATTAAAAATAGTCAATAATGTTAACTCATAAAGGCCAGTGAACCACAGTGAATTAGGTAAGGAAACAGAATAGTGTGACTAGAAATATAGTTATCACTTGCACTTTGTTACAAAAAATCCCTGAATGCCACCTAACAAATGAGTTCGAATCTCAGTTGCATGCTCCTTCATGTATCAATAAAATGACTGTAATGTTTACGAGTCAAACAGTAAGTCGGCATTCTGTGGCAACAACTTCTGGGTACTTTGGAGAGCAATTCCTCTTGAACCTACTATGCAGTCAGCCACTTCCAAGGTACGCCAAGGATTTCAGACGCAGTCAAAGAGTCACAAATCCGCTACACCCTGCAGGAACATTTGAGAAGGTCAGTGTATATTGGCAAAGCAGCTCACCTCCAGACCGGTCTCCTTGGCCTGCAAGCCAGCCATTGACCAGCTGGACAGCCAGAAGTTGCCGCTCATTTTAAGTGACTCTCTCATCAGGTATGTTGCTACGATCAGAGCCATAGCTCTGAGTCCCATTGCTCGCAGGTAGTACAGGTACACCTTGTAAGACACTGGGCCAATCTCACGGTCTTCCGCTTGGGTTAGAGACCCATCTTTGGCTCCTTGACGAAAGCAAATAAACACCTTTTAGTGCTAAGATTGAGGGCATCTCATTCAGGAAAAAAGAGTTTGAAATAGGATGGCCTAATGGAAGTGACTTTTATGAACAACCCCAGAACTTTAAGCACATGCGTTTAAACGTGTGTACGTAAGGGCTATACTTAACCCTAACCCCCTAGGGTGTATGTAAAATCGTATTGAAATTGGAGGATTTGGGAGTCTTAGGGTTAAGTTGTGTATTAGTAACGAGGGCATGATTGTTTACAATAAACTAACAACAAGTGTGAGGTGCTTACTGTTTTCCAAGAATCATTTACTCTCATTCTCCATTTCATACACTTGATTTTCATCTCAAGTCACCGATTGAATGATTAATTGCAACCAATATAATTTATGCTGACTGAAGAGTGCCGATAAAAGCATTACAAGCCTGGGAACAGCGCTAGCATCTGTCTTGCTTAATGCCATAAACATAAATACTCCATTAATTATTTCTGTCATCGTCCCATTGGCACTTATTAAAACTCTTTCACTATACATTTTGAACACATTAGCCCAGTCTATACAACGGCAGGCAACTGTGATAAGCGTCTTATGGCCCGAGGACAAAACTACAAATTATAAATCCGCTGAATTCCAATCAGGAATAAAATCAGCAGGAATGCCTCAAAGTCCATGCAGAAATAACTTTTCATACACATTATTGTGGATCCACATACAAAGACATTTTCAGAGTTAAATGGTTGCACTTTCCCTAAGTGTTGCACTTGAGTCTTTCAAGTTCAACTGCACAAGTCAGAAACAAGTCTGGTGTCTAGTAAAAGCATAAACTATGACAACAGCATGCCTTTATCACAATTATCCACTGAATATCTTGTAACTTGATCTGCGAAAATCTTATGACTTGATCAGAGAATATCTTAAGACCTTATCAGCGAATATCTTATAATTTTATTAGACAGTATTTTGTGACTTGATCTGAGAAAATCTTGTAACCTGATCCGAGACTGGTGATGGACTTATTGCAGGATTGGTTCTTGTATCACCACCTGCATCATTAATGACTGAGTACATCTTCATCCTCTGACCTGGCTTCCTCCTGTCTTCCCCCTCCATCATCTGCATGGAGACCTGCTTGAGCAGGTTCTGCCTCTCCTCTCTCATCGTCTCTGATTCCACCTCCGACTCCGTCTCGGACTCACTGACCAGATGTACGGCCCTCTTCCAGCGGCAGTAAAGCTCGGGGTCCAGGCGGGCAATCTCCTGCCTGGACCCCTGCCTGCTGATCTTACCGTCCTTCATCACTATGATCTATGAGAAAAGTCAAGTTCCTCTCATTACCGTCCTGAGGGCAAGTTCAATTAGCAACATTTTGTTAGCCATCTGTCAATTTTGCCTGATATCCAGTATATATTCCATGCATAGGTTGCCGGTCAAAACTGACCATTGGTTGCCAATTTGTCGCTTATCAAACTTGCCCCTGCTAGGGCGCCTTTTATGAGCAAGATAGAGCTTTTGGTGTTATCATGATTTTTTCCTTACATTTATTCCAGTTGATTAAAAATCTGACAAAAGTAATACACTGCTGTTTGAGAAAGCGTGAGAATCTCTGGAACAGGACTGGACAAACTGGCGGTGTGCTACAACAAGGAAAGACAATGAAATCTGCACTACAACATTCTCTGTTGCACTCCAATCAGCCACGCCACTTTTTATGGCTGTTTAAATTATGCAGTTAGTGACATGCCATTAATAAAATACTGATAACGAGGCATTTAAATTTAAGTTTCATATTCATGACTTTTAATGATACAAATTGTTTTCCTCAGAAACAGTTGCACGCAATGTATTTTCTGCAATTTCTTCAAAATGTGTGGTACACACATCCAAGACTACAATCTTCAATAAATCTGACAACTGGGAAAGAAATCCCATATTCACTTTCTTCCAATTTTTCTCCACTTAACATGCTTAAGCCTATTCCCGGCGTTGTCTCATTTTGCCAGGATGCCTGAAAAACGACATCAAGGAAACTGAGCAATGAGCTACCAGCCTAGAGACCAGAGATGACTGTGAATTACATTCAAAGCAGAGCAGGAATAACTGGATAAACTGTTAGTTTTCATTTGTTGCTCTTACGTGATCGGCTTTCTGCAGGCACTGCAGATGATGTGTAATGAGAATGACCGTCTGACGAGATCTCCGCATCATTCTCACGATGCCTTCCTCAAACACTTGGGCGCTGATGCGCATGTCAAGAGCTGACAGAACATCATCCTATCAAAATAAAAATTTGCTCATCCACCAGCACCTTCTAAGTGCTAAACAAGGTGTTGATGCATACTTCATAGAACTCAGAATGGTACTTGTGTTGTTCTCAGGGCGAGTAGTTTTCTGGGTAACTCAGCACATCAGAAGTACAATTTCTGAGAGCATTTTTCATGGTTTTTAAAAACCCCTCAAAAATACACCTTTATTATTTTCTTGTTGAGTAGCCATGAGGGTCAAAATCATTTCGTGACTATACTCACCATGACAGCAATGCTGCGCTCCGAGTAAATGGCCCTGGCAATACTGACCCGCTGCTTCTGTCCACCGCTCAGGTTGAGTCCCTTCTCACCAATCTCGGTCAGGTCCCCTGCTGGAAGGATCTCAATGTCTGCCTGCAGGGCACAGGCTTTGATAACCTTCTGATACCTAGAGAAGAAACAGGGTAACAGACTGTATTAGGCATTGGGAAGGTCTCTAACATGTAGGAAAGTAGCAATTTAGAATAATGATGAGACTGACTTTTTAAAGAGGAATCTTAATTTTTGCAGAAAATAATGTTAAGCACTGCGCCCAATTTCATGGCACTTATGAATGTTTTGCAGAAAGGGATATCAACGGTAGCAGAAAAACTGGGCTAACATTAAAAATCGTAAAAATCAGTTGTTTTGTACATGAGATATGACCTTGTTGCTCTAACGTGACGAACCATACTTTATGACACAGAAACAGTGGAGTAACTACAGTGGGGCACATGCCCCGAAGTCATCTGTGCCCCCTCAATATTCCCCTTCCTTGAAAATTTCAAAATATACAAGCCACTGTTTACTAACTTTCAGAACTCCCTTGAAAAAATACTATACATCCCATCATGCGCCCTTGGAAATTTCACCTAAGTTGCACCACTGGGTAGAAATGTCTAACATCTGTGCATATGAACTACAGAACACACCGATACTCTATTTTGACAGAAGCAATATCCATGTACCTCTTCGCATGGTAGGGTTGACCAAACAAAATGTTATCCCGTAGTGAGCCATTGATAAGCCAAGGTCTCTGGGCAGCAAAGGCGATGGTATTCCTCCTCCTAGAATGAAAACAGAAATCAGTCTGCAGAACTGAAATGCCTGTAATTAAGGGCTGAAGACTACTAACATTTTCAATTTTTTGGGAGACAAGAATGATTTTTTGTAAAACATTTCATTTTCATACACTTTTTCACTTTGAAACCCTCGTCACTCAGAACAGCATGACAGCTGTTAAGGGCCTCGAGATTTAACTTCAATTACAATTTTATTTTTAATGGAGACACAAATGTCCTCACTTTCTGAATTTGACACTTCCAGATAGCGTCCTCATTTCTCCCAAGATGGCTTGGCCAAGAGAGGACTTCCCACCTCCTAGAGGGCCGATGATCACTGTCAACTTTCCTGTCAACAAACACATCAATAAAGATTAGTTGCACACGTATACTCTACACTTATCATCTTTTGCACTCATTCCGCTGAAATAATAATTATAGCTACAATCACAATTAACAACTTTTGATGACTTTTTATGTTTGCATATAAAATACACACAAAAAGGTGAACAAAATTCTTTATAGCAAAATTGACCTTTCACACAGTCCAGCATTGGCAATATGAATTAACAAAAACAAAGTTAACTTTAAAATTGAGCAAACGGAAATGAAATTGGTTTGCCCGAAGTCCTTCCGGAAATCAACACATCTGAAATATTTACCTGCCGGAATCTCAACATTGATGTCAGAGATAACTGGCACATTGCTGTCAAAATCCCAGGAAAAACTGCCACTGTCTATCTACAGCGGGAGAAAACCAGCAAGGCAACGCAGAGTCAGTAACAGTATATTTTCTAAGGCATCAAAATTATCCTTGACCATGCTCCACGTGAGAAAGTGCAGCAGCTTTGTAAATCAAAAGAAGCAGCATAAATTTATCGCCATGAGACCATGGGAGCATGTCCCATGAACCTATTACTGATGAATCTTATTGAGGTGGTTGGCAGCTTCAGATTCTGGTGTTGATTGGCCTCTGGAATAGTGGACCTCTTGGTTCTTTCAACATGAAGCAGGCTTTCCACTTTGGCAAATGCTACGTATTATTACATTTCCAGCCGACGTCGGATTAAGTTTGAGATTAGAGTATGTTTCTTGTTACCTTGACGGCCACGTTGCTGGGCAACCCATCAAGGTTATTCCTCCTGTTATCGCTGTCTTCACTCGGAGACGTGGAGGATGGAGAGGAACTGGGGGTGTTGTCCTTCAGGAGGGGCGGGGGTGTGGCTGGTAACAGCTCACCACTGTCACTCTCGCGGCGCTTGCGGGTCAGAAATCGTCTGCTGCGTTTGGTGATCACATCCTCAAATGTCTGCCAAGGGGTTTTAAAAATAGTTCCCTAGAACCATGTCATCCATACACAGGACAACCCTAGTTTAGAGTCTGTAGTATGTATGGTATTTCTTATGACACTTTTTCATCTTGCATACTCTTTGCTTTTGTCATTTTGCGAGATGACCATCCATCAGAACCAAGAAAGCTAACATTTTTGGAATCTTCTTGTTTTTAACAACATACGAGGGGGAATTGCAATTTGTTTGATATCTTTCTCTCAAAGTTCAGGTACAGAGCTTTAAAAAAACACAAACAAAAAATATTTTAGGCATTTTCACTTGAAACAAAGCAAACATTCCCAAATTGGTTTGGTTAAAGACAGATTCTGGACAGGTGCGATCCCTGAAAACTGAACATATGACTGAAGTTTCTTGTTAAATATCAATTAAACTGTTAAGGTATTTACAAACCATTTGAAAACTCAATTTCAATATAGTCAACTATTCTTGGAGGAAATGGAAAAGACTAAAGGTTAATCAAGTAGTTGAGGCATTAGATGTTCTGTATATCTAAGATGATGTGATGACTCACATTTGATTCTTCATACACAGGAGACAGTGGTGCTCTTGCATCATCATCTGATCCATCTTGACATCTCTTCTCAACTTCAGGAGTGGACAAAAAGTCCTGGGACAAGAAAACAGCTAGTTTCAAGAACTTGCAAATATGCTTCTTGTGCATAATGTTTTGACAAGTCTACCAGAAAACTTATTTTGAAAGTGGATCATTCCAGCCATGTACGTGATATGCAAATTAAACATATAAAATAGAAATCTTGAAGTTTTGATATACGACAGCCAAAGGGAACTCAAGAACTGGCAAGACCACACTTGTCAATGCAGTATAATTACAGGTTTATTACAATGCAAAAATTAGAACAAACATGTCAGAAGAAATTTGAGCTCTGCAGAAGTGTGAAACTGAGTGGCTTTTGGAGTGGTGAAAATCTGGGAAAATTATCTTGTGACCTCCAAGCCATTATCTTTCAATCTGTGATAGAGAAACATGAGCGATTGTTTAAGAAAAACTGGTTCAGTCCAAATATTACATTTTCTCATTCTGATACTGACCTGCAACCTCCTTGAACTAATCAAAGCATTGACGTAGGATGCCAAGGCCAATGGGAAATTGGAGATAACGGTCATGGCGATATTGAAGAGGGTAAAGGATGCAAAGGTCACATCAGGGGTCAAGGGCTCCCCACTCAAGATTGTGTATGAGCCAAACGCCTGCAACCAATGACCAACATAAATTGCCATCATGTTGTGAGAATACAACTTGATGTCCAACTTTAAAGTTTGTTGAGAAAATAAACCTAAAGAATGGAATCTAACACCAAAAGGCCCCAGGCCAACAAACATTTGCAATTTTTATCATAATGTGATAGATGGGTTACGGTTATTATAGGGCTGTGTTTGAATTATATATACGGCCGAGTCTTGAATTACGTGAGTCTATAGATATGACAGTGGCTGCAGCCACTTCTAATGAACTGTGTGTAATTTCAAGCCACAGCCATGTGATTCCGACAAGCCTTACAAGTTTTTAATTTTGAATAATAATTTCAAAGAAGGATTTAAAATGTTCGTCAATCTAAGAGCCCATGTGTGTGCAAGTATGTGCATGTCATTTCTTCTACTCTGCCATTGACTGTTAAATACAATGGAAGTACAAGTAGTTGGCAATCAGGCTGACTGTGTGACAAAACCAAAATGTGTTCAGTACAAATGACTTATTACTTACCGTCAAAGTAACGAAGAGGGGTAAAATATATGTCAGGAGATCTGTTTCGTAAGAAGGGTAAAGAACAGTCAATATAATACTATTGTTCCCAAAGCACAGGTGTCGGTTGCTTAGCAAACTGTAATTTGATGAATGGTATGGGTGATACGTTCAGAAAAACAAACAGGTGCCAAAAAAATTGCAACAAGTGCTAAAGTAAGTGACAGAGGCGCAAACATGAACAGTACAGGGAAAATCACGTTGGGAATAATGGAAAATTCTCAATTTTTTGATTGCAATCAGGTTTTTACTAAAGCTAGCCTGACAGGGAACTCGCTCCGACCTTTGAGCAGCTGCACGTCACTGAGCCACAAAGTGAATTTGGTAAGGATCTGAAGAATGAGTCCATGTATGATGTGGATATTACACTCAAAAGTTAACAAACTTGGATCTCTGTACCTGACGTAGCGAGTAGGATGTTGATCTTGAGTATTTCCCACAATTCCCTGGTCCTGACCTTGTTGACCGACCGACAGTGGAGTTTCTCCCAGCCATAGAGTTTGAGCAGTTTGATCCCCTGGAACATCTCGTTGCATTTCTTAAGGCGCTCGTCTGAAAAAAGCTTCCATGACAGGAAATACACATGAATCAATTTAGCCTCAGAATTTTCAAGTTTCACCGCAGGGGCCAAAGTCCTTGGGGTAAAAAATGAAAGTTTCCAACACACTTCCATAACTGAAACATCTTTCCAGGACCCCTTCGGGAGAACTGTTCTCAGATAACTGATAGCAACACCCTGGTAAATTAAACAGATATATAGATAGATATTTCTGCCCTGACAGATGCCAACCTACAAGCGAGCAGCGACAAAGTATCTTGCCAGAATCCCAAAGATTTAACTTGAACAGATTCCGAGTTTAGTGTTACAGACAAGGCCACAACACTCCACAAACCCGGCAGGCATTCCCCAAATTTCAATTAATCTCCTCGCTTCCCAAACAGCATTCCATTCTTACCATGACCCTCTTTTGTATCTGCGCAGTCAGGCAGGCTATCCTCAAATGAACGAAGAGAGTCACGGCCAGGAGCACTGCGCACAGCAGTGCTGAGGCCCCTATCTCCATGAACAGGAGAATCATGGTCAGTATTCCCTGTGAGAAACAGAAGTTGCAAAACCAGCTTTATGTGTAATATTAGACATTTGTTTGCAGTGTCTATGACTTTCTAAGAGCGATATTCCATGAAAAATGCAAAGCTTTATGGGGAATTTCAGTTATGACAAAGGATAGATGTGGGTACACTGCACAGTCAATTCCTAAAAGCGCTCATGCCGAGATACTTTACTCCAATAATAAAGTTGTTGCTTTGTGTACATTCGGTTGTAAATTCATAATGTGCACCTGTGTGCTCCCTTCACAAGCATGAACCAGGGCAAGATTGGCAGGTTTGGCACAGGAAGTTGACAATCTAGATCCCACTCAACCAATTGTTCCTGGTTAACACTTTATGAGTACTACACGTGCACATTTAAATTGTGCCTAGATCCTTGTTGCATATCTGGTATATGGCTAAAATTACCACTGAATGTAATTGCAAAGAGACCAGTGCGAATTCGGCTCTCACTCATGGATATTCATGAGGCATTGTAACATAAATTAGACAACACAAGTTTCTATATCTTTGGTTTCCAAAATTACATGGACTTACCAGTGTAGGCATGATCCAGGCCTGGTGCATTGACATGAAAAAATAATATATGTTACTGGCATCAACCGATACGTGGTTGGTGATCCGACCAACATTCACTGAGCCAGCACCATTGGAGGAAGTCCTCAAGCGGAGAGATTTTTCATACACAACAGTCTGTAACAAACAAAACACGGTGAGAACAGTTTACTTTAACGAGAGATAATGCACAGACACCATTTACACTTCGATTTCACACATTAAACGCAACACAGTTAATACAAAACATAAAAACAGACAATAAGATAGAGCAGGGTGCCCAGCAGAACATAACAGTTAAAAGAAAACTGTTGCCAAAAGGTGTACGTCTCCCAAGCTGCATGCTGCAGTATGCAGAAGTCATCCTCTTATGTTACAGAAGCATTTGACATTGTCAGTGCAACAAAGTTGGTTGTGAAGCATGCTGAAGCGACTGGACTTGGCATTCATACAGAGGAAAACGCCGTCTCAGGTTATGCACCATTCAAAAAATATGCCATAGGGCACTTGATTGCCCCCCACCCCCAGGGGGTACACCGCCAATTTTGAATAAATTGAAAGCATCAGCATAGTCACGTAACCAAATAAACTTCTAGGCTACATCCAGAGTTGCACATATTTTTTTAAGTGAGGTAACAAACGCTGATGAACTACAGCTTGTAAATAGGTTGTATATGCTTCAAATTGGGATACCTTAGCCGGAAAAACACATCCCCCCCACTGGCCCCCACTGTTACGCCACTGCACCAACATTTACGAAATGGTACTTACCTACCTTCCTTGGGTGGTGACTGGGGAAGAGTGCTCATTAATAGATGAAAGTAATGGACAATAGCTTAGAACGGACTGCCCCAGTTGGCCTTATTACTGGACTCAAAACCCAAACAGGCCACTGATGAGGCGAAGAAGAACTTGTCGACATGACTGTGAACATTACCTGCACTGCACTGTAGGCATGCTGGGACAGAAGAACAGTCCACTGCCAGTATGTCGCCATGCACAGTGAGCGGATGATGGTGCCGATGAACATCAGACCAATCAGAACAAAGCCATTGGAGAAGTATTCTTGTACTGTTAGAAAATGAGGCTCTTCCTACGATTCAAGCAGGAGGTAAAATAGAAGTGAATTGATATATTTCCTTGTTAAGAGGAAATGAAACAAAAATCGGTTCGGTAGATACACCAAGTACGTACATGCTAGTTTGGAATTTACATTTCAATGAACGCTTCAGGTTCATTAGTGGCAGACAATTTTACTGAATGTATGATACAATTAAGACCAAAAGTGCTAAATTAAAGAATAGTAGTCTAGTCAAAAAAGTACATTTTATTCAAAATTGGATTCTAACCCCATGCTCATGCAAGGTAGCCTAGTAACTGGGTGCCGAGGTCAGGAACCTGCTCCCAATTGTGGTCTCCATAACCATCTTTGAAACTTAATCCTAACAGTCCACAATCCTCCAAACAGGTCAAGGACTGTGGACTATTCAGGTTTAAAGTAGTAACATCTCATAAATGAAAAAAAGACAAGTGTTAAAAGTTGTTTTGTAGGGAAATAATAAAATAAACACCATCCTCGCACCGATCATTAAGGCAAATTTCACATTTATGTGCAAAGACTGTTTTGAGTGAGTAATTTTAAGTGAGATGGAATTTGACAATATGGATGCATTTTTCACACACCATTTTTACTTTGAATTTTGGGATTGGGTGTCTTTTTGGGGGGTACATCGGTACCCATAATAGTGTACCCAGTTCCTGCACTACCCCTAACTGCATGCCACTGGATATCACCTAATTTGAGAAAGGTGGGCTTTGTGCGCACCATTTGTCTCTTCTTGGTCTCATTCTCGGTAATGAATAAGACAATGCCACTAATGCAGAGTGGATTGATGAAGCGAGCTAATTCGGCTACCAGTCTGATCCCTCCGGTGGTCACGATGTCCCTCCAGTAAGCATGCATGCACACTCGCCACAACTGAAGAACCCGGCCAGTATACGCTGCCTTTGTCTAAATGGGTTCATATAAGACAATTGTAAGAAACAGGATTATTCTTTTGTACAACAGTCACATAATGTTCTGAAACTATCAGATCAAGATGTATTTTTTGTGCCTATAGTTTTAAGACGAATATTCTATTTTGATATTGTCACCTAATTTAGGACCTCGAGATAAGCTTTCAGAAAGCCACATTTTTACTCCAAATTTAACCAAAATCAACAGGTACATAAGGGAACTCTACAGACACAAACTGAATAGCTCTTGATCACCACAACTGAAAAAGATTTATTCTCAAAGAAAATGGAACTCCACAACATCAACTAAATCTTGCAGTTATGAAACTTGCAAATTTGTAATCTTGCCACGACTTACAAGCACTGAATTCCTCTTGGCGACTCACTGGTACTTACTCTTCATACAAGGGTAATTCCAGAACTTTAGGGATCCAAAAGTGTGACATTTAGGTGCCTCTGGTACATCTTACCTTTGTTATTTGACATGGAAATATCACCAGAATTGATTTCAAACTATTACTATTTTTTGACAGGTAATTTGCATTTATTCTTTGCTCTTGGAAATTAGAAAATGTGCTCTGAACTTACAAAATCATGTCAGATGTGACAGGGACACGAAAAAAAGGACCCCTAATTTCTGGAATTAGCCCCAAAGTTTGTCAAGCATGTCAACATTCACTTTCAAAATAATATCAACTCCTAAAAAATCAACTCACCCTTTCTTTCTCAAGCACTTTGGTGAATCTCTCGTGGTTGAATCGTGCTCCATGAATCTCAGGCAGAGATCCGAGGTCTTCCATCTCCAAGGGGCGCTGAAAACCTTTCTTCAGGAGTTCTCCCAGCCAGGAGAAAGTGATGCGAGAGAGTGTACTGCAGTGCTCATCCAGAAAGTGCATCTCAGGGTCAACGAGGTCTGAGGGCAGGGCTGAACACGGGAGATGAGCATCTTTTTCCTGTGCTTTGGGACTGGCACTTGGTGACTTGCAGAAAAGAATCTTTGGTTGAAAGAGCAAATGATGGCAGAGTTAATACTTTGTATTCAAGTTTATAGAACTGACCAAAGTTATGCATTTACCACATCAAGTTTTTAAATACCTCTGCTTGTTTCCTCCCAAATGCACACAGCGTCTGATTTGACAGATCAATCTCTGTCCTGAAATTGACACAGTTGTCATATTCAACACAAATTAAGGACTTTAATTATGCTGTTAGAATACAAGATGTTTAACGCTGTAAAATTTTGGAGAAAAACATACTATATTGCACCAGTCTCAGTGAAGGCTTTCCCCAGTGAAGCGTGATCCAAATTAATCTTATAGAGCTTAAAGTTGTTGACTTACCTTCAACCTTATGACATTGACTTCATTCAGAAATAGGAAGACATGCAGGGCTGTGGTGATGACAGTAAAATCAAAAGCTATAATGGTCAAACTGGCTAACTGGAGATATGCGAGGTGTAGAAGATAGAGTGCATTGGCGGCTACGGTTACCAACCAGTAGAGAACGAGCAGCCAGGCCATCCGAGGCCGTTGCCACACTTCCATTTGGTGGTTATACAAGATTGACAAGATTGTAGCTAGTACCGCACAAGCATCTGGGAGGTACAAATGAGGCTGGATCGGCTTGGCTGGATGGTGGTGGAACGTGACTTCAGTTATCATGCCTTCTAGCACACTGCCGATCAGAGTGACGATGAGGATAAATGTGCACACCCATCTCCTGTCATGGCCAGGATACTTCAGGAGGTATCTGGTCTTGTTGACCCCTTTCAGATTGGCGCAGCAGCGGATGCCGAGGAGCACGAGGGGGAAGAAAATGATTGCAAGAGCATGGGGGATGGCAGTTGCAGAGTCAATCAGACAAGTGTTCAACAGAAGCTTCTGAAAGGAGTCTGAGAATTGGTCAGGGTTTGCCAGTAGCCTGTCACGCAGGACTTCAGTTTCAGAAGCATTAGCACCACACATCCAGGACAGGAACTTCTTCTGAAAGTCTGCCAATGATTCTAATGGTAACATTCTGAATGCTTTGTGCTCCTGGAATGTTTTGAAAACACAAGGCAAACAAAAGACAGAAAATGATATATCAGAATGAAGCACAAACAACAGGACTCTTCTACAGTCAGTGAAGGTATATAAATAAGTATGCGTGGATGGTTGCACTGTTTTTACTTCAATTGCACCCACTGGCGTAGTTAGGGGGCACAGGCCCCACCCCTGTAAGATCTCTTGCCCCCCCCCCGGCCTGGCTACGTAGCTGAGTGGGCAAGGAGTGTAACTCCCGGGGAACTCTTTCCCCTTCCCCCAAAGAAGAGCCTCTTATTACAACAAATTACCAATTTGTTTCCCAAAGGCAAGGTCAACACTTCAAATGACCACAAGTTAAGAATACCAAATAATTATGTACAGAGTATACACTACGTGCTGCCAACGCATTTGTCATAATTTTGATCTGTGTGTTATTTTTCAAACCATGGACAGCAAGGAAAGCTTGAGCTATACGGGTGCATTTCTTGTAGGAACTTTGATTGTATATTGTAAGGCCTATGGAGAACTTTGCACATTGAAGTTTGTTCTAACAAAAGGGATTTTTGACGGCAATCTCTGATGATATATGTGATGGCATTGCCAACGGGCAAACAGGCGTAGGCCTACGTTATGATAAACTCTAATGCTGTCTTCTGGCAATTTTTCTACATGCTGAAATTTAAAAAAAAATCCACTTACCGACAGTCAGAAGCCAGAACAAATTTGTCCTAGACTAGTAAATCACAACAACCATGAGGCACCACTATCAGGCACGTCCAACCATTGCCGACCGTGGAACGCTCAATCACACGGTCGGGCAGTGGCCGTCTTAGCACGTGGGCCTACATGTAGATGATGTGGTGCCGCACCCCACTGATTTCAGCGTGAAATCGCGAACCATCACCTGTAAATTCTCCAAACAAATCTTCAGTATAGACAGTGATAACTTAAGCATACCTTGAATATGCGTCTGAATGATTATTATGTAACCATGTGTCCTGAAATTCTCTTCAAAATGAGCGGCATTTCCCTATGCTTATACGCTCACAACCGACGATCGTGTCACGCAGACCCATGGCCACGTGACTTGAAAAATGACGTCATTTTGTTACAACATCCGGGACGTTTCGAATTCAACACTAAAG